GACTTCAAGGGCCTAATTGGCATACCAATATTTTTAATCCAAGATGGATTTTTAAGGGCTGATGGTGTAATCCACTTTGTCCTGGAATTTGATAATAACAATAAAGTTACAGTTCTCTTCATGTTTCTCATGTCTCTGTACTATCGTTCTGAACTAACTGTCAGAACCTCTACGAACACTTTAGCACTATATTCTTTCTAACAGGGTTGCCAAATTTGCACAATTGGGCTTTTTTGTTGTAGTGGTTTGGAAAAATTGGTTTTGGGGAGATGCCCCATTTTTTGGGCTGTTTTACTGTTTGTGAATAGCCCAGTTCACACACATGTATAAAACTAATGTAGAGGTTATAGAAAGGCCTTTTAGATCTAAAGATAATATAGCAGAGACTGACCAATCAAACAGATATATGACATGACATTTGGTTTTCAATCATCTCATAGCACTTATCTAGCTACCAGTTTTTCAAGCAGAGGTGTAAGAAATCGAATTTATCAGATGTATTGATTAGATAGAAAATAACAGAAAAAAAAGATTTTCCCTTGACCACAAATGTCGACATATTTGGTGTCTGGCACACCTAAAGTCCTATATTTAACTGAAAATGGTACAAAGACACAATATCAAATGTTGAAACGGAATAATTTTATTGTTTTTTGAAAAATATATGCCCATTTTTAATTTGATGCCAGCAACACTTTAAAAAAAAAACGTTGATACAGGGCCAACAAAAGACTGATAAAGTCATGTAATGCCTAAAAAAAAACACATCTGGTGGAACATCTCATAACTAATTAGGTTAATTTGGCAACAGGTCAGTAACATGAATGGGTTTATAAATAGCCTCCCAGAGAGGCTGAGTCTTTCAAAAGTAAAGTTGGGGAGGGTTTACCACTCTGTGAAAGTCTGTGTGGGCAACGTTTAAAAAATAATGTTTCTCAACATTAAATACCAAAGAACTTGGGGATTTCATCATCCATGATTGTACAGGAGTGCCATCCAGACAACATCTTTTTCAGGGAAGGCCTTGCTTATTGCAGCAAGACAATGCCATCCACAATTACAACAACATGGCTCCATAGTAAAAGAGTGCTAAACTGACCTGCCTGCAGTCCAGACCTGTCACCACTGAAAACAGTTGATGCATTATGAAATGAAAAATATGACAATGGAGACCCCGAACTGTTGATCAGCTGAAATCCTGTATCAAGCAAAAACAGGAGCACCTTTCTCTTTCAACACTACTGCAATTGGTCTCAGTTCCCAAACGCTTGTTGGTAAAAGAAGAGGTGATGAAACACAGAGGTAAACATGCCTCTGTCAAAACTGTTTTTGAAACATGTTTCTGCCACCAAATTCAAAATTAGCATATATTTTTCAAGAAACATTTTTTTTAATCTCATTTTTAACATGGGATATCTTTTCTTTGTTCCATTGTCAATTGAATATTGGGTTTAAATGATTTGCTCGTCATTGCATTTGTAAAGTGCCAGAAGGATTCAGATGCTCACGGATGAAAAAAGAGAAAAAAGTCTTTACTTGTTGAATTGTGATCCAAAATCGTAGCCGTAGGCATAGGTCAAATCCAAAAAAAGACAGAAAGTACAAACAAACAAACAAACAAAACCATGATTTGTGCTTGGCCACACTGAGTAATCTGGGAGACGTGTGTATAAAGATGGATGTGTTTGAAGCGGGTTAAGAGATGTTTTGGACACGGATTAGTGGAGATGAAATGGGTGACAACTGACTTCTGATGTTTGTTAGCAATATTAACATAGCAGCTCCAGTTATAAACTAAAGAAGCAAAATTTGGACTCCAAACATGTCTTGACTGATCAATTTCATATGGGGTAAGGGGAAAATGGTATAAATTTGATTTTTGCTGAACTGTTCCTTCAATTTCACTAAACTGAATGTTGAAGCTGTTTTCCATCATATTCTAGTTGGAGAGAGCACCTGTTTGGATCTGTTTGGACCTGTTTGGATCTGTTTGGACCTGTTTGGAATGCAGCTTTCTTGTTTTACACCTTTGTGTGTAAAAGTCGTTGTCGTATTCAACTTTTCATCAAAGAAAACAAAAGTGAGATGTTGCCTCAAAAGTGGTGTTTGTTGTAATAGCAATAGAACATGGTGTTATCGCGAAATAACATCACGGCTGTGATTTGGTTCCTTCCGCCAAATTATAGTTCGTCAACAAGCAGCTCGTTGCTACGTCAGAGTAACGAACTCCGCTCAGTCGCTGCGCAGCCAGGAGTCCGTTCTCCAGCTCCACACAGACCAACACATTAACCTCGCCTCACACTCGGTTTTTTCCTCGACCACTTGTTTTCTTCTATTCTATTCTTCTTGTTTTCTTCTGTTCTATTCTTCTTGTTTTCTTCTATTCTATTCTTCTTGTTTTCTTCTATTTCTGTCTCAGGGCAGTTACCTCCCCTCTTGGTTCATTATATTATTTATGCTTTCACTGCACTAAATCCTGTCAAAGTTGTTGCTTCTCAGCGGAGTGATACAGTGTTTGTGAAAAAAAAACGTGCTGTATGGCGAAACAACAGCAGAACCTGTTTATGAGGAGCCTGGCCACTTCCTATTTCCCCCGTTATATCAAAACTGGACTGCTAATCAGCAGAGGGCGCCCACGAGTGAGTCCTCAATGAATGGGAGTGAATGGAGCTCAACGGCTAAAAACGAACAGTTAAAGTAGTTTCTAATCACTCGCCCAGAACTGTTCTTTAATTTTAGAAGGCAGAAGGATGTATTTCACTAAAAAAACAAAGAAATCTCACCTGTATGTTTCCTTTTTTCTACAGCAAACGGGTTTTGAGCAGCAGGAGGCGGGTTTTACTGCTAGGGCGTGATAATTGATTGGCGAGCAGAGCAGCTCATTGGCTGTTCGCGCTCACTGACGTCATGAACGTAGATGAGGCGCCATTTTAAACTCCTATAGCTCGAGTTTAAAAGCTCTTAAAAATGTAACAGTGGTGTTAAAATGTTTTATGCTATTCTTTATTCAGGAAATGATTGATTTCTTTTACATTAAAAATGTTTAAGCATTTATAAACTATGATTTTGCTCAAATGCTCCATATCAACCCATTCATTTTGGACTCGCTCGGGAGCGCCCTCTAGCGTTTGAGAAACCAGGAAGACATTGCAGAGGGATAATTCTCCTCTCTACAGGTTCTCTGACAACGGCGCGGTTTGAACGCTTCTCAACCAATCAGCTTGCGGGGCCGGAATTAACTGTCACATAAAATAACTTTAATTCACAATTTGAATCACGAAACACCTTTACATGTTCATTTCAATGATCACACAAAGAAACGAACAAACACAATCGACTCATGTGGTCGTTTTCTATTTGGAGGCCAGGCTGCTCCATACTGCACTGCCACTGTGTTTATTTGTCCACAAATATCACACACTGCACTGTCACTTTGTCCACGAATCCATAATGTCACATGGCACAACTGTTAACAGTGGTTGTCGTTACAGTCACTTGTTCATTCACTGGAGGGGACATGCGCCACTGCACTGTCAACTGCATGGTATTCATTAACAATTTACTTCTTATTTTTATACTGCACGTTATTTTTTATTGTTTTTAGTATGTTTTTTATTATGTTCTATTATTTATCTTTACTTTCTATTATGTGTCTGTAAATACTGTAGGACGGTACTTTGCTCCTGTTCATTTTGCTCTTGTTTTGCTCTTTACTGTGCTTTGTACTACACTGTAAGCCCGGATAAGTTGAATTTACTTGAAAGATTTGAGGAAACCGGTTGCCTTTAAAAAACTAAGTAACGTGTAATGAAAACTTGCGTTAGATTAACTATAATTTTTGCAATTGAACTGTATGTTTGATTAAGCAATTGAGATTTGTTTCCTAACTAAGTGACATTGACCACCAAACAGCTAAGAGTCCATTTTTACTGTTTAACGCGGTCACTGACCAACACAAACCCACTCATCAGCATCGAGAACAAAACCCTTCACGTTTAACCAACAACTCAATGTCAGACAGCTAAGTGAAACATGTATGAAAGACGACGGCCTGAGGAAAGGCTGCCTGGGTGGAATGAAAGCACACTGACGGTGAGTAAAACAAATGGAAAGAAACACTCAATGTGCAAATAGATGGAGCCCAGAGCCAATGGGAAAGAAGCACATTTTATCCAACAAGGTCGTGTCAACAAAACGAACATGTAACTGTATTTCACAGCTTACTTAGCTTCACTCAGTTTCACACATTTGTTTAGCAACTTTAATGAGAAAGAAACAATTAAAAACCAACAGAAATGTCGTCATCTTTTGAATGAGGGGTTTCAAAATTGCCATAGCAACAGATTAAACTAAATAGCAGTAAGTTAATTCAACTCAAAAATGCCATTTGAGTGTACAAAATCATCAAAAACGTTCCCTTAACTTCAAATTGTTGAGTAATGTGTGGGGTATACCGAGTTTTATGTACAACAGACGTAATTTATTTGAGTAAAACAAAAATGCGGGATTACAGTGTGCTGGAATAAAAGAATTTCCCTCTGGGATTAATAAACTGATCTATCTATCTATCTATCTATCTATCTATCTATCCATTCATCTATCCATCCATGATGATTGAGCTTGACCTAAACATGTTCTATTTTTGCAAATAATTTGTCATAAAAAAAAACATTTGGTTAAATGTCTATATGATGGATATCTCTTCGATGCGTCGCAGAGACTGCCTTTCAAAAAGTGACCCGATTTAACATAAAGAGGAGTTTATCCAAATTAAACATTGGATGGGAATCACTAATAATACAGGGCTGCTGTGAGGAGAGGGCTGGAAGCGGTTAAACGAACACAATGACATACGTGAAAACACCACTTATTGTCTTTGTGTGTTGTTTGTGTTTATTTTATATTAGTGTTTTCAAATCTAATTTCGCCCAAGCGTAAATTTAAATTTTGAGTCAGGGACTTTTAATTTGAAATCAGCTCTGTGTCCATTGCGGAAACGGAAAGGGCCATCGTGATCCTGTGTGTGCGTTGTTGGGTTTGGGCGCTGCGGTTGAACTCTTCTCCTCCGAAACTGAACCGAAAACTGCTTTAAAATCAGCGTTAAACCTCCGGCGGACTCGGCACCGTCTGTTCATCTCCTCTCCCCCCGAAGAGCGTTATGGCGACCGGCTCGGCGGGACCTCAGAGCGTCGGAGATGTGGAGGAGGACGCGTCCCAGCTGCTCTTCCCCAAAGGTCTGAGGGTAACACCCCAAAAACACTGTTTACAGCTTTATAACGCAGAGTTATATCTAACTGTAGAGTCAGTCTTCCCCAAAGGTCTGAGAGTAACACCCCAAAAACACTGTTTACAGCTTTATAACACAGAGTTATATCTAACTGTAGAGTCAGTCTTCTTCAAAAATCTGAAAAACAATACACAAGTATAGTGTTTACAGTTTTATAACACAGAGTTGTATTTAACCATAGAATTAGTTTTCTTTAAAAGTCTGAAAACAAACAAAAGACTGTTAGCTAACATTGCTGTAATGGAGAGTTTATTTGCATTACAGTTATGCACATAATAAGCTAGAATCTTTGAGATAGTCAAAACATCAAAACGCATCAAAAACACAAAGTGGTGCACATCAAAAAACGGAAAAATGCCTGCGCATTATCAAGAGGGAATGAACCCAGATTGACTGATCATGAATTTTAATGGCTGATTCCGATATCTTTATAGCCAAGTTGGCCAGTGGCTGATTTTCTTGGGCCAATTTATAAACACTGTGTGGGGTAAATGAACACATGATATCAGGACATTTTATTCGACAGCCTTGTAATATAAACAACCTTATTATTTGGTTTAATGGGCCAGACTGGCATTTTCAGTTGTTCGGTGTGAAGTCACATGCTTAATTTGTTAACATGAATCAAATGAAGTGCTACACTGACAGTAAGAAACAACAGACTATTTAGCATAATTGGGCCTGTATAAGTATGCTTCAAACATTTAAGTGCAGGTGTAGCCACAGTATTCACATACAGTGCAAGAGCACTTATGTGCCTCACATTGTTTATGTCATAAAATTGCAAAACAGATCTGCAAAAAAAAATCATGTTTTGAGCAGAAATGTGCTGACTCCAATCTCGTCTGATGCAGATTGTGTCAGTCCTTATTGTAAATAAATTCATTTCTTCATTTACATCTCTTAGACATGATTTAGAGCATCTCACCCTGGTCTGAGCTGAGACCAGCTGAAGACAACCTGAGAAATTACAGAAAAAAATCCTAGTAATGCTACACTTAAAAAATACTGTCAAAAACTATGAATACAGTTATTTTTATTCTGAGTTTTACACACTGCACTGCATTTAAACCAATTAAACCAGACAAAATATGCTGTCTTTATGATGAAACATGCAATTCAGAAAAACATTGTGGATGTCTTCTTGCTTAAAGAACACTGAAAATGTTTCATCATAAAGACAGCATAATTGGTTGGGTTGAATTGGTCTAAATGCAGTTGTTCAGTGTTCTTTAGGCATGAAAACATCCACAGTATGTTCAGAAAAACATATTGTGATGTAAAAGTTACGGTAAGTATTCCGCACCCTACATCTGAGCCACTTCTCTGAATGTCAGCACTGGCTTGTATGTAGGCAGTGTTGCACTGAAGTTGGAGGGATGCTGTTCTCTGCAGTGTGTCGCTTTTTTCTGCTTAACTGATGATGTGTTCCACATTTGTTTGGACAGAATTTGAAAATGCAGAGACGCTCCTGAACTCGGAGGTGCACATGCTGCTGGAGCACCGCAAGCAGCAGAACGAGAGTGCGGAGGACGAGCAGGAGCTCTCAGAGGTCTTCATGAAAACGCTGAACTACACGGCACGCTTCAGCCGCTTCAAGAACCGTGAGACCATCGCCAGTGTGCGCAGGTCAGGGGCCGAGTTCTATTGCGGGGATGTTGCATTTCAGTTCACGTTAAATTTAATGTCAATTTAAATAAAATTTAAAGTTAAATTTAAAGTGCAAAAAAATGACAAGAAGAAAAAGCAAAAAGCTTAAGAGAGAAAAACAATACACATAAAAAGTAAAATGGGCAGTATTACTCAAGTCTTTTCCAGCACCTTAAGAACAGAAACTTACTTCATGTGAGTACGTGATTGAAGGCACTTCCAGCCACGCACAGGGTTTCACATTGCCATTGCGTTCTAAAATGTGTCAAGACGAAATTTACAACACAGCACAAGCATGAGCTACATTCTGTGTGTTGCCAAGCCTGGCTAAACTATCTCTTACCATCAGCATGCTAGCTCCCAGTCAGCTGTCATAGCAGAGAAGCAGTTAAGACAAGTCTCTGGCAAAAATGATTCACTGACATCAACATACACCAATCAGGCATAACATTATGACCTCTGTTTCTACGCTCATTGTCCATTTTATCAGCTCCACTTACTATATAGGTGCACTTTGTAGTTCTACAATTACAGACTGTAGTCCATCTGTTTCTCTGCATACTTTGTTAGCCCCCTTTTACCCTGTTCTTCAGTGGTCAGGACCCCCATGGACCCTCACAGAGCAGGTACTATTTGGATGGTGGATCATTCTGAGCACTGCAGTAACACTGACGTGGTGGTAGGGTGTTAGTGTGTGTTGTGCTGGGCTAAGTGGATCAGACACAGCAGTGCTGCTGGAGTTTTTAAACACTGTGTCCACTCACTGTCCACTCTGTTAGACACTCCTACCTTGTTGATCCACCTTGTAGATGTAAAGTCAGAGACAGCAGCTCTTGTGTGTCAGCACAGTTTGTGTTGGTCATCCTCTAGACCTTCATCAGTGGTCACAAGACGCTGCCCACAGGATTCTGTTGGCAAATAGTACCTGCTCTGTGAGGGTCCATGGGGGCCCTGACCACTGAAGAACAGGGAAAAAGGGGGCTAACAAAGTATGCAGAGACATATATTCTGTGATCTATAGTGTCAAATGCTGCACTAAGATTTGGTAATACTAGAACTGATATTTTCAGTGTTTAATCCTTATCATTTAACACCTTTATACGAGTGTGTTGTTGATTTTACTGTTAATCATCTTAGAGAAATGTAACAGTCTATTCCTACAGTTAAAGTTAAGTTAAAGTTAAGTTAAAAGCAGAAAAACTTTGTTTATGAAATCATTATGCATTCAAAGTTTAGTTTTTCACCACTTGCGATCAACTTTCCTCCATTCTATTTTCAGAGCTATTAACATCATGATGTTTCTCCATGGTGGTTACTGTTTGCTCAGAGTTTGTCTTGGCCTTTACTGGTGCAACAACATCCATGACATTAGTAATTTACAAGTACATGAACTGACTCAGCAATTATGTTTGGTGACACAGTTATGGCCTCCATAAACTGGGCACTAGTACTCTCAATCAGGTTCCTTTTTTTAACAGAAGCAGAGCTTGTTTGAATATCTGGAGAAATCATTAAGTCAGAGAAGACACAGAAATGATCAGAAAGAGCCAAGCCCTTAACTGTAATTGCAGAAATATTGAGCCCTCTAGAAATAACCAGATCCAGTGTGTGGCCTCGAGTGTGTAGACTCTTTCACATCCTGCATAACACCAAATGTGTGAAGCAGGGCAAAAAGTTCTTTGGCATTATTGTCCATGTTATTAACTTTATAAAGGTTAAAACCACCCTTAAAATAAAGTTGTAGTCAATGGAGATAACTGACAGTAGTTCAGCTGAGTAAAGTTTGCGGAGTATTTTCGGGGTCTGTGAATGACTACAAATAAAATTCTGAGAGCACTCTTTAATATGAAGTTGAGGTATTCAAAAGAAATGAAGTTACCAAACGAAATCTCTTTGCATTGGAAAGTATCTCTATATAAAGCAGCCATCTTAGTACAAAACTGATTCTTAAATGGCGAGCGAGCATCACACCGAATGCACTCTCTGCCAGTTAAGATGATTTTAACACTAAAATGCTTTGGAAACCCAGCACAGGTTATTATCAGTCAGTTTCTATGTTAAAACTCTGTTTGTTAGAGCAGGGAGACTCCAGCACAATGACTGGGAAACACTGAGGCATTAATATAATGCTCTGGTTCTTCCTAATTTCCTGATAACGCAATATCATCACAGAATTTGCTTACAAAAATTATTGGCAGTTACTGACACCTAGCAACTGATGTTATTCTGTCAGTGAAACCACTTCAGAGCCACTTCTTCAACTTTTTTTCTTGTTTTACAGCTTACTCTTGCAAAAGAAACTACATAAATTTGAATTGGCAAGTTTAGCCAATCTGTGTCCAGAGGCTGCAGAAGAAGCAAAAGCACTCATTCCAAGGTGAGTCCCTTTCATTTTATGTGAAAACATCGTCATTTAAAGTGCTTATGGTTTTTCTTTGACACAAGACGGTTTTAGATCAGGATCTAAAAACATTTCCATTGTTAGGATTTTTATATATATCAGAGGGTTCAGCTCGTCACTGACTCTGCACTTTGGTTCAGAACTACACACCTGCACACCAGCTTTGGTGTTCCTCTTCTGGGCTCTTGACATGTCTTTCCTTAAAATCTAGCCATGGCTATAGGTCTTGCTGCTTTAGTTTGCTTGCTTCTTCCTCCTGAACTCCGCATTGTACAGTCACGTAGTTCCTTCTGCTGGGGTGAAGACTCGCCTAGATTAAGATCTTTCTGCATTCTGTATTTATTTTTTCTTTACTTTAAAAAATCTTGGTTGACCTGGTTTATTTGTTTAACCAAATCAGTGGAGCTAATAAGTCTGTGATTGAGATCCTGTCTCTTTGTTTATGGATGCTTGCATTGTCTTCAGGTACTTTCTATCGCTCTGTTTTCTCATTTTGGAGGTTGCTCTGGATAAGATTAAGGTTAATTGACCCTTATTAGTCCCACAACCGGGAAATTTCACCTCCGCATTTTACCCATCCGTGCAGTGAAACGCCACGGACGCACACACTAGGGGGCAGTGAGTACACTTGCATACACACTAGGGGGCAGTGAGCACACTTGCATACACACTAGGGGGCAGTGAGCACACTTGCCCAGAGCGGTGGGCAGCCCTAGCCACGGCGCCCGGGGAGTAGTTGGGGGTTAGGGGCCTTGCTCAAGGGCACCTCAGTCACATACAGTCGGCTCAGGGGATCAAACCGGCGACCTTCCGGTCACAAGGCTGGTTCCCCAGCCTCCAGCCCATGACTGCCCCGAAACCACTGTGCGGTTACATTGGCCGGGAATCGCACGCGGGTCTCCAGTGTGGCAGGCGAGAATTCTACCACTGAACCACCAATGCAAGGACGTTTATAAACTGAATAAATAAAAATGCAAAAATGGGCAAAGTGATGTGACTTTTATCTAGCTTTATTTTGAGCTGATTTTGTTTCTTACCTTAGAGTTTTAAAGATTTTAATGAAATATTTTGAGCTTTCACTCACTTTCCTTCTCCTTCTTTTCTAGCTTGGAAGGCCGATTTGAGGACGAGGAGTTGCAGCAGATTCTGGATGATATTCAGACGAAACGGAGCTTTCAGTACTGAGTCATTCCTGTTTTTTGTTGTGCAGTCAAGGCCATAACCCACAAAGTGCGTCAAGCCATTATTTTGTATTGTTTCATTAGAGACTGAGTGTTCTCCCTGATCTCCATTCAGAGGTCATTTCTTTCCTAGTACTGGATTCTACATTCTTTGTTGCAGCAGTGTTGCATAGCTAACAAAATAAATATGTTTTCATAGAGTTTGATGTCCTTGCGTGACCACTTTTAAGCCGATTTGTCATTGGCAGTCCTTACAAGGGATCTGTATTGTTGATGCATGATTTAACAGTGAGTGCGTCTACATGTATGTAATAATCCGATCACTGCAGAAAATCAGATTTTGTCAGTAATCTGATCAACATGTTCATATGCACTTGAGTAATCAGATCATGAAAAACTGGGTCTACATGAGTCAGACAGTAATTGGATTTCTGCTTTGCAGTCAGCCAATAAACTCACAGAAGAAGTGGCGTAAACAGAATGTAAAACTTGCGGCTTTTCTTTTTTTAAAACATCGCGCCACTGCACCTGAAAATATGAACATACATCATCTAGAACAGGGGTTCTCAACCTTTTCCACCCCAAGGCCCACCTGTTCATACATACAAAGCATAGCGGCCCACAGGAAAACTAAAATCAGCTTTTTAAATGCAATTTTATTTTTGTTTTTTAAGTGCTGGCACTGAAAACCTGAGAATTAGGGCCTCAAAGCATCACAGAAACCAAAATTACAGTTATGTTAAAACCATAACGTAACATGTTAAAATAAAAGAGCTTGCAGTGATGTTACAAAAAAAGAGGGAGGGAATAGAAATGTACGAGGTAGATGTGGACCGGGAATTGGAGCTGCAGTCTATCGTGTTTTCACTGAAAATACTCCACTGGCTTTCCCACAGGAGTCACTGCTTGGTCTCGAGATGTCTGTCTGGTTTTGAGGATTTTTGTGATTCATGTGAAAAAGCCAGACCTCACTCCACTCCCCGGACTTTTGGGCCCAATCCCATTTCACCCTCTGCGGGCCACAGTTTGAGAAGATGAAGAATATTTAAATCCTTCATTCCATCGAGAATGTATTTGGTTTCGGCGTCGCTCCAAAATGAGATTTTTTTATTAGATTTTTAAAATCGGATTTCTAGATCGGAGTATGGTGTTTACGTGACCATTTGAATAATCGGATGACTGCAGAAATCCGATTATTGAGTGCATGTAAATGCCTTTACTGATTACAAAAGAGTTTATCCAGGAAAAGTGGAGGTACGCTACCATAGACAAAGCTTTGGATGCCAGAAATAACACATTTCCTTTTTTTCTTGAAAGCTTTCTGTGTTAAGTGCTGTCACAGTACCAGGAGGCAAATGGAGGAAGCTAAAAATTTCAGAGACAATAAGTAACACACATTTCTAAAACAGGTAAGACACCTTACAGTTAACAGAAGCAAAGGACAGGAACCCACAACTTAATATCCAGTGGTTTATTTGGTGGAAGATGTTGAGTAATGGGCAGATAACAAGCTCCGTTAGGACGTTTATATTAGTGGAGATGTGTCTAGTATATTTTGTGGAAGAGTATTACATTTCTGGGAGATAACCATTATCGTTGAATATAAGTAGTTTGTTGCTTTTTTCTTGGACAAACCTTACTCATGATGCCTTCTGGCACTCAAACTGACTCTTTGTTCCTGCCTACCCCCCTGTCTCCTCTGCTGATGTCGCCCTTGAACATTGAGAAAGAAGAATGAGGACGTGATGCACAGTGTCAGTATTGGTATGATACTCAACTGAACCAAGCACAACACATTCTTAAATAAGACCCAGCTTTTCCTAACTCCCCCAGGCACGTTATGTGGCGCCCCATCCTGGATAATCATTTGTTCTCCTTTCCTGGATAAACACCGCTATCGTCCAATCAATGATTTGGGACACCATCAGCCTGTGCCTTTGCTGTTTTTCAAATTCCTACCAGTGCCTCCCGCTCGTGCAGAGCAACAGGCAACTCCACAAATACATTGTTTATGAGCTTTTTCTATACTGAAATGTGTTATGATAAAACAAATGGGTACAAAATTTTACTAGTCATTTCACCAACTATGAGATAGTGTGGATAGATAATGTTGAGTCTCTCATATAGGCCAGTCAGTTATCTTACCATGTAGCATTGCTAACCGGCTATCTGGCTAGTTAGGTTGTGTTTAGCAAACAGTAAAACTAAGAAAAGTGTTATTTTTTTAAGGATATGTTTGACAACATTCACAAATACCTAACAGATCAATTTAGGATCTACCTAAAGCTTATCTAGTTAGTATGCTAGCAAACTTAGTAGTACTTTTCACAGTATGATGAGCTGCTTGTCCTGTGTAGCCAATAGCTGCTGATCCGGGATAGTCAGCTGGACATTGTTCATGACTATATTTCTTCTGGAACCTGCATGAAATCCTTTTTAATGACTGTGTTAATCTGAGATTTAGATCTAGCTAATGAATCCTGTATTAATCTTTGACAGCCTGTTAATCCTACTACTGACAGAATTGATACTGGATAGTTAGTTAATCCAGTTAATGACTGTAATGATCCTGGATAGTAGATTAATCTAGTTCATTGATCCTGGATAGTCGCTCAGTCCTGCTTAGATCCTGGAACGTCAGTAAATCCAGTATCTGACTGTACTGATGATGGATAGTCAATTAATCTAGTTCATAACTGTATTGATCTTGGACAGCCAGTTAATTGTATTACAGACTGCATTGATCCTGGAATAACATTTAATCCAGTTCATGACTACCTTGATCCTGGATAGTCATTCAATCCAGTTCAAGATTGCATTGATCCTGGAACGTCAGTAAATCCAGTATCTGACTGTACTGATGATGGATAGTCAATTAATCTAGTTCATGACTGTATTGATCTTGGATGGCCTGTTAATCCACTTACTAACTGCATTGATCCTTGGTGATCACTTAATCCAGTTCTTGATTTTATTGATCCTGCATAGTCAGTTAATACATTTCAAGACTGTATTAATCCTGGATAGTCAGTTTAGGCAGTTCATGACTGCATCCATCCCTGGATAGTTAGTTAATCCAGTTCATGACTGTATTGATCCTGCATAGCCTTTTAATTCTATTATTGACTGAATTGAGTCAGGTGATCCTGTTCATGACTCTATTGATCCTGGACAGTCACATAATCCTGTTCATGATTGTATATATCCTGGATAGTCAGTTAACCTAGTTATTGACTGTATTGATCCTGGATAGTCAGTCAATCCAGTTAATGAGTGTACTGATTCTTGATAACCAATAAATGTAGTTCATAACTATTGATTAGACAATTGGTTAGCCAATTAATCCATTTAAAACTTTATTGATCCTGGATGTTCAGTTAATCTAGTTCATGACTGTATCAATCCTAGATAGTCTATTAATTCAGTTCATGAATGTTCAAGGCACCCATTTGGTTTGACCATTATGTAAGCATTACCTATAAAATTTCAGAGGATGTGTTCACTGATTTTTGAATTGTAAATAATATGACTATATTCTACGTTGTAGACCTCGTGACCCCTGGTTCCTGTCACCACAGCTGTAAATAAATCTGAGTCTGTAAGTTTATATAGAATGAACTATATTACATCAAACCACCCTGAATCCACTGAAATATGCATTTTAAGTCAGATTCATCACCATTATTCTGTGTAGTGATTTGTTTTTAATGATTAATAATTCAATATTATCAACTTGCAATTCCATGAATCATTCAATATTATCAAGTTGCAATTCCATGTGTGCTTCTTATATTGAATCGTTAATTGATTGTTGATTTTAAAAGTATTTTTTCAGTTGATCAAGTGATTACTGAGTGGAATGAATGGTGACTTATTGATTCAGTTGAATGACATTGATTAAGTATAACAAAACAATGAGTTGTGTAAGAACAGAAAAATGCAAAACTATGCAGAGCTCTGGCCCTCCAGGATCTGACTTTGAGATTATGGTTTATAATAATACAAACCCAATTCCAGTATGTGAAATGCTAATAAAAACAGAAAGCAGTGATTTGTAAATTATGTTTGACCTGTATTAAATAAAAATGGTATAAAAACAGTGTTGTATGTTGTACCTGATAAACTCCATTGTTCTTTGTAAATAAATGCTCATTTCAAATGTGATGCCTTCAATATATTCCATAAAAGTTGTGACAGGAGAATGTTTACCATTGTGTTAAATCACCTTTCCTTTTAACAACACTTCATCATTTGGGGGCTGAAGACACAAATTGTTCCAGTTTTGAAAGTGTAATTTTTTGACAATCTTCTGTTTTATGAGTCTTCAGCTGTGCAACTGTACAGGGTCGTTATTGTCATATTTTGAGCTTAATATTGTGACATATTCCCCATAGTTACTGAATAATTTATATAAGTTACTAAATCACTCACATTAGTTACTGTATCGTTCATAGTATTTACTAAACAAGTCATAATAGAATAGTCACAAAATAATTAATAACAGTCACTGTATCATTTATTTATTTAAGTTTGGGTGCCCCTTGTCAAATTGCATGTTTTATTGATTTTCTAAGTGAAAATAAGTACACATTCTCCACAGAGAACACATTTCTGCACATTTTATACAGTTACTGTTTATTTGCTGAATTCAACACTTAAAAAAAGAAAAACAAACATAAAATGTTCTTGTCCTTTTTAATTGCGCAAATATCTATATTGTTTTATTTCATTTCAGTACAGTAAACTCAGCAAATAAATAGAAATTAAGTGCTTACCCTGTATTTGTGTTCCCTGTAGATGTGTTACCTTATTTTCACTTAGAAAGTCAACAAAACCTCATCTGAACAAGAGCATTCCAACTTTTGCACATGACTGAATCATGTTATTGTGTATATAATATGCACTACAATTATATATATATATATACTATACAGTGTCTAAAGCTTACAGCTACATTTTTTGAATCTCCTTTGATACATACATACATACATACATCATCTAAACCGCTTATGCTTCTGGGTCGCAGTGGGGTGCTGGAGCCTATCCCAGCTGTCATTGGGCGGAAGGCAGGATACACCCTGGACAGGTCACCAGTCCATTGGAGGGCTCTCCTTTGATAATTTCAGGTTATTCATAGTTGACAGAGATAAGTGAAATCAATGATCTCCTTTATTGGCTCCGTGTTCTTCAGGTATGTTTAATTTTATGAGATACACACATAAAGATTTTTCACAGCATGTCTAGGTCTGATTACTGTAGTATTTTATAAAAAGAAATGCTAACATGAAGGCTGATGAAGACTATAAGCCTACTTTACACATTTCTCAATTTTTTTAAATATATTTTTTTAACAAATTAAAAACATACAAACAAAAAATTATATACCACATTTGAGCATCCATTACGATGTTATCAAGCCATCTTCCATCTTCAAATGACTGGAGCGATGTCTTCACAATCATCATTCCACTAGGAATGTGATCCAATCTGTATGATAATTAAATACCCAAGAAAACACATGATACCATTATGCTTGATCAGAGTACATCCATCACTGAGAATCACCATCATGTAGTCAGAGATTACAGCTTATCAATGTAAAATGGAATGCGTGTGTGAGCCATCCTCTAGGCCTATATAACTGTAACTTTTTTGGATGGTGGACTATTCTCAACACAGTGGTGGTCTTGATGTGTAAAAATCCAGCAACACTGTTAGGGCCACCATACGAGTACCATATCAGTGTCTCTACCGTACTGATCTACCACTGTCTGGTCAACAGCAGTCCCAGAAACTGACCAATAATTACAGGAGTTAAAGACAACTGATAAAATGTGCATGACAACACACAGGCTACAGCATCTACAGTGGACTATCTAAATAAAGTGTAACTAAACATTTTTACAAGCAGCATTAAAAATGGAAAAAGAATACACATAGTGCATTACAAAGCTATTTTCTAGGCCTATTACTATCTTCCTATTTATCTTTATCTTCCTAAAAAATCTACAATTATTTCTCTCAACAGTTTTACTGTTAAAACAGAAACGTTTAATAATATCCATGAGTTTTCCTTACACTTTTTGAACTGATTAGCCTTATGTATTTTAACGTAGCAAATGCACAATATGTCCTATTTAAGGTAAAGGCTGTATGCATATTCTAAACAAGAATGCTTTGGCTGGCAATTGAATGAAGAGATGTTAAACTTATGTATATTTCCACTATGATATAGAGTCAGGTTTATAGGTATTTTGTTGTCAATAAGGTTATTTTTATCATATATTATATTAATATTTAATATATTTAAAAAGTTTGATTATAAGCTCAAAGTGCAGATTTTCAGCTTTATCATTTTGAGCTTTTTTGTCATTTTTAATACTTGGACACAAATCATTTGACCACCTGAATCTGGAACCCACAGACTAAATGGCTATCCAGAATGGATACAGCCATGAACTGAATTAATTGGCTAAACAAGATCAAAACAGTCAATAATATTACTGACTGGTTATCCAGGATCAATACAGCCATGAACTGGATTGACTGCTTATCCAGGGTCAGTACAGTCATGAACTGGATTAACTGTTTATCCAGGATCAGCATAGTCATGAACTAGATTAAATGGCTATCCAGAAAAAACACAGTCAATAAAGCAAGTAACTGGCTATTCAGGATCAACACTATCAGTAACAGGATTAAATGGCTATGCAGGATCAATACAGTCATGAACAAGATTAACTGGCAATTCAGGATCAACACCATTTGTAACAGGACTAAACTGCTATCCAGGATCAATAGTCATGAACTAGATTAACTAGCTGTCCATGATCAATACAATCGATAATATAACTAACTGGCTATCAAGGATAAATAGAGCCAGGAATTGGATTAACTCATTAACAAGGATTAAAACAGTCAATTATAGGTCTAACTGGCTATCCAGAATGGATACAGACATGAACTGGATTAACTGGCTATCCAAAATTAAAACAGTTAATAATATGACTAACTGGTTATCCAGGATCAATATAGTCATAAACTGGATTAAGTGCTTATCCAGGATCAGTACAGTCATAAAATAGATTAACTGGCTATTCCGGATCAACACAATCAATAAAGCAAGTAACTGGCAATTCAGGATCAACACCATCAGTAAGAGGATTAAACTGCTATCCAGGATCAATAGTCATGAACTAGATTAACTGGCTGTCAAGGATCAATACAATCAATAATATGACTAACTGGCTATCCAGGATATATACAGTCAAAAACCAGATTAACCCAATAATATAGATTAAAACAGTCAATAAAAGGTCTAACTGGCTGTCCACAATGGATACAGCTATGAACTGGATTAACTGGCTATCCAAAATCAAGACAGTTAATAATATGACTAACTGGTTATCCAGGATCAATACAGTCATGAACTGGATTACCTTCCTATGCACGATCAATACAGTCATGAACTAGATTAACTGGCTATCCAGGATGAACACAATCAATAAAGCAAGTAACTGGCTATCCAGGATCAATAGCATCAGCAACAGGATTAAAGTGCTATCCAGGATCAACACAGTCAATAATATGACTAACTGGCTATCCAGAATCAATACGGTCATTAACTGGCTTGTAACAGTTTATGACTGTATTGACCCTCCAATAAATCTAGTCATCAACTATATTAATTGACAATCTAGGATTAATACTATCAGTATTAGGATTAATGACTTTCCAGGATCAATACTGTCAATAAAAGGATTAGCCGGTTAGTGTGTGGCTCCCTCTACTGGCAAACCTGGTTCTCCTGCTGAGGGAGAAGGGCATTGTGTAAAAACTATGACAACCAACAGTAAATTAGAATATATTAGGCCATATACAGATAGTATGTTTTTAGAATTCAGTTATGTAGCCTTTGTGCTAATTTTCACATCATTAGAAAATGTAGAAGAAACAAAGAAGATGCACAAAAACCTTATGTCATGTAACACAGTATATATGAGTGACATAATATATATATACAGTTTTATTAGTGAGGTGAATTATTTCATTTAACAACAGCACTCACATGAGAGTTTAGATTTGACCACTTGATTGAATAATTATTATATATGAATAATGATCTCTATCATATATTGATAAATATGTGTGATACACGTGTATGTTTGTATATGTTGATGTATGGCTGCAATATATGGCCCATATTTGAAAATGGCTAATTTCAGATAAGTTGTCATATATGTCACATATATGTCACAAGTATGTCCATATGTGACTAATATTAGTTAAACATAAGGGAAATCCATATATACTAATATATGCCATATATTTAAAACTCATATTGACATAGATCAGATTTTTGTTTGGGTTATGATTTTATTTTACCCCAAAAAAGGGGTGTTTTTGACCTGGTACTTTTGCATTCCTACTCAAAGATGCGTTATTTTTATTCATTATTTCATTATTTCACCAACGTTAGACTACTTTCGCTTGAGGATGTGTGTTGGCCACTCCTCTGAAAGCCAGCTAACTAGCTACTCAGCTAGCACGGCTGCGCTGTCAGTAATACTACATTTCCCACAATGCGGCGCGGTGTGGGAGCGCAGCTGAGTGAGGCTCCACAGCGGCAGGGACCGGTTCGTATCATGGCGACCTACGTGGACATCCTGAAGAGCGAGTTCCCCGAAATTGACACCGAAGTATTTGACTATATCACCGGTAAGCCTCGCTCCGCGGGCCCGCTCTCCGCCGGGCCTCGAAAGTCTACACGGTCTGGTAGAGCGGTTCGGTCTGTGGGCGCGGATTAGCCGGCTAAGCTAAGCTACATGGCCGTATTAACGTTAGTCAGCGGCGCCGGACCGTTCAGGCGCCTCAGAGAGAGACTCGGGGGTCTTTAAACCGGTATTTTACCAAATCCACGCGGAGTGTGGGTTGTGTAGAGGTCAGGAGGTGCCTTGTTAGATGGTCACTGAGCTGGCAGACAGCTAGCTAGCCCCTTAGCTCGCTAACGTTCAGTAACTAACGTCAGGCAGCCCGAGGAGGTTAGTCAGGCAGGGCTTTTCTGACTAAAGGGGAATTACACCACTTTTCCCAAATTTCTGAGTAATTCAGTATTTGACCTGGAAACGAAGTAGTTGTTTGATTTGAAGTGGCTCATTATAGAGAAATCTATTCAAATTTCTTTACAGTGGTGGTGATAGGAACCAGATGTCTACAGCACAAATATAGCCATTTTTATACTATCCAGAACCACCAGTGGACCTACACGTGTCTTCTGAGTCTTCATATGTGATGCTTATAATGGTAAAAATAAATTCTCTTCGGGGACTATTTTGCCTGACTATTTTGAATGAACAAAAAGAAAATGATTAAAATACATTTAAGCCAAAACTTTATCATAAATCAGTGTGTCAGACATCAGTCAGCATACATCTAAATATTTAATGTAATCGCTTTCTGTGAGAGAGCTTTTAGACATTAGACATTAAACTCTTCAGACGTCTGGTTCCTATCACCACCACTATGAACAGTTCTGCCAGTTTGAACTCAGCAAGTTTGTCTAGAACGGAGCATTTTACATCAAACCACTCTAAATGACTGTCTTTATGTCTCAACCGTTAATTATGTCGAATTAAAAAAAAATATATCACAGGAGTTCCTCTTTAAGACAGCAGTGTCTGGCCATTTCGTCAGATATTACGTTACCTCCCACAAGACAAGCTGTCAGATTCTCTAAAACTGCCCTTTGTTCAGTTCCGTTTGAATCCTTCACAGTTAGTCAGCTTCTTATTCATTTTTTGGGATTAATTTCATTCTGTTCTGTAGGTTCAGCAGCAGGACTCATTTACGGTTGCTTGTACTTCTCACTTTTGAGGTTTATCTGTTTTTTAATAGGCCATAAGGAGAACAACACCATCTAACAAACTCAAGTCCTTGTGCTGATGAGCTGTATAGATGCTGGATGTGCTGAGAAGCTCCACTGCAGCTCTGTAGGGAGCTCAGTACTGGAGGAGTTTTATGGTTTTTACTTCCATTTGAATATAGTGTTTTGGTGGCAACATTTGCTTCTCATTGAGTCAGTATTGTACATTTACTTAAAGGAACAGTTCAGCAAACAGTTCAAAAAACAAGGAAATAATAAAATGTGCAGTTAAAAAAAACATATCCAAAGTTGCTTTTTCAGTTTTGTACTAATAGTAAACTTGTTTTGGTCCGATTAGACTCCTATTATATTATAGTTGTAGCCTCAGCACAAAACTAAAGATGCAAATGTCAAGACTTCGAACATGTCTTGGCTGATTGGCTGTGTTTAGGGTAATAAAATTTTTTTTGGTGAATCATTCCTTTCAGCTGGACCTCTAGGTCTGTCATTATATTTTAAAAACTATAGCGGATAGCTGATGATGAAAACTCGACTGATTTCTTCTCTGCTGCGTTTGTGTGCGTGGAAGTTCACAATGATTAATCCACCATGGATTGTGAGGAAGTTTTGTAATTTATCGTTGATTAACAGAACTGAAATTAGTGTGGGCAGATGTGGAAATTGCAGTGAAATGTCACGATTGTTCTGCTCCTGATGGTCACAAATATCAGGTCACCAGTGGGCCAAAGTGTGGCATTCAAGTTATTTAAGAAGCTAATAAAGGAAGTCCAGAGTACAAGCAGTAGATCTAACAACATCCATGACCTTTTCCTCTTGATTTCTCTGCCCACCCTGATGGGATCGGTTTTACTTTAATTGAATTCCTCGATTTAAATGAGTTTCTCAAGGAAAGGGCACCAGTGAGGAGCTTGTCTCTGGTCTTCGATAATGAAGAATTGAGGAATATGAATAGCTTCTTCTGGCGAAAGTCAGTTTATACAATTTAAAGGTCTTTCTAACTGATGGAAGAAACTCCGCCAGAGTTCTGAATAACATCCCCACTTCTCAACAACCGTAGGGCCATCATTGCTTTGCGTGCACAAGACTGCCTGAGTCTTATAATCAGTTTTGCTTGTAAGAACAGAAGGACCAGAAGGTAACCCTCATATAGTCTATAGGCAATACATCCTATTGGACGCCCTGTGATTGCTGTGTGTCTTGCTGTGCTGCAGGAGTGCTGGACAGTGGCGGTTCTGATTTTGAAGATGGAGAGGAAGTGTTCGATGCCATCGGTGGGGTTCTCCAGGAGGTAGCTGCTGATAAAAATGAAGATGACGTCCGAAGTATCTGTCTCCAGTTGTTTAACACCCTCAAGCTGTAAGTGTTTAAGTTTATTAAAACATTGGGACACATAAATGCATGAAATAATGTTTTATACATCAAAGTGAAACACAAGACAAGACTAATATGTCTACCAAATAGAACTTTAAATAGGTTTCAGAAATCACAATGTAAATATATACTTTTCAAATCAATATACTATATTATATTAGTGTAAAAACAAATGTACAAAGTTTCAAATTTCAAGAGAGATTCATTGATAAGGTTCAAAAAGTCGTGGATACACAAACAACTGGTCACTTTTAGTGTAATTCACACGATTACACATTGTCTTCTCTTCTGTAAGGACTAGTGTTTTAGTTACGAAGGTAAAAATGCAGGGAAGAGATGCCTTGGATCCTGTTGCATCCTGTAAAATTAACTTTTAGTAGCTGCCTTTTGCATTCATTTATTTAGAAATTTTACTGGCTCTATATTGACCCGTTATTGTCTCCTTTTAATTGGCCCCTGTGTTCTCTAAGCTTGCTTAACTATAAATCTGAAGAATTGTTTACAAATTTATCAAAGCGTAGGCCTTATCCACACATACACAGGTATTTTTTTAAAACAGGTTTTTCTGTGCATTTTGGCCTTTCGTCCACATGCAAACTGTATTTTAGGTCGCTGAAAACTGATCTTTTGCGAAGTTCCTTCCAGGGTGAAAATATTCAGAAACTCAGATTTCAGTGTTGCCAGGTAGAAAAGGAAGACAGAGTTTTTGGCTTATATCATCAAGAGTGTGCACTGTTATCTCTTCTGTTTACATGAGGATGATTTTATGCGCTGCAGCACGTGTCAAACTTAAGGCCCTTGAGCCAAATCAGGCCTGCCACACAATTCTATCCAGCCAGCAGAAGTATTTTAATTTTCTATTAATATTAGCCTGTTTAACAATGTGCTGCACTACAGTCCCCAGTATGCACTGCAGCATAATGTTCTCCGACTCTCCTACCCCAACAACAATCTAGGGGACATCAGTTACGCCTCAATTCTACACAATTGTACACAATTCCATACCAGTCATGTCACCAAAATGCATTTCAGCTGCAGTTCAACCAACATAAACACTTATCATCTCAGCAGCTCAGAAACTGAGCTTAAGTCTTAATGAACTTGCAGCAAAGAAAGGATGCCAGGGGTCTAGTTTAAGCAAATAGGTAGGTTTAAACTGACTGATATCCTGGGGACATTTAAATTTTGAGTATTTCAAGTGTTCATGTAATATTTCAAGGTCTACTACAAGTGTCTGTATTTTACTGTTGAAGTTTTTGCACATTTAGAATAAGCAACGGTCAGTTTGGGTTACAGCACAACTTTAATTAAAAATCAAATAAAAAAAAAATTTCTCTGGCCCATGGGTTTGATGAGATTTTTTAATATGGCCCTTTTACTGGTTGAGTTTGACGCCACTGCGCATCAGAGATCACTGCTATTTCCAGCACTCCCACGACACAGACCCTGCCGTCAGAGTCGCTGGTTTTGGACCAGACCCAGTCGCACCTTTAGTTGCTGGGACAACACTGAAAACGAAGTGGTTGTTGCAGAAGAATGACGAGAAAATTGTAGTTTGTTAAGGACGTCAGTGTTGTCCTGTTCTTGACAGCTTTTCACGTGGCTGGATATTTTTTTAAAAACAGTGCGTGGATGATATGTTTTTTTTCAAACCTGAAGGAGGAAAACTGCTGTTTTAAAAAGCACCCATGTACGTGTTGACTGGGCCTCAGTCCTGGCCCAGGTGTACTGCTGCCCTGCACATTTAAGAGTTTCCTCTGCTCCCAACACACCTGATGCAAATAATGAACTAATTAACAAGCTCTTCCTTGATGTGGAATTGTTAAGCTGCAGTCACTCCAAGTTCATCCAGGTGGACTTTAACCCTGCAAATTTGTGAACCTCAGATGTGTGAGCCACTAGAAAACAAGAGGACCATCTGTGGTGTCTTCTTTCTGAAAAACACCTAAATGGAGGAAGTGCTGCCCAGGCAACATAATATCACTTATAGCTAACAGCTGGAAAAACAAACTAGTTAATTAGCTAGTTCCCTTCCAAAACCACATCACATCAGCGCTGCCCATACTCATCTGACATCTCTAAAGGTTTTGGATAATTAAAAAGTCTAAAATGCATTTTAAAGGCCCAGGATTTTACATTATATTTTTCAGCATATTAATTTTTTTCCCTATTAGGTCCACTTACAACCTTTATTGTTGTTTTATGTATAAAAAACAGACTTACTTCTGTTTTTTCTTTTTTTAGCCATTTTCCACACTCATTATAGGTTTGACATGAACGGTTGTGGCTAAGCTGCTTTAAGCTGAATAGGGGACATACATAAATGCGCTGCTATTAGTGATAATTCAAAACAGGTTTTTGCAGCTTATTTTTCACAAATGAATTGTATGGTACAATAAGCAGTCTGTTATTTTAGGTGCTAAATATAGTGGCATATCTGACTTTTTTTAGATGTGTTAAATTCTGAGACAATGTCTGAAGATCAGATTGAAAGGAGTCATTGTATTTTAATATGTGGCATATTTGAGTTTGGGTTATTTTGGACTGGAAATTGTATTATTATTTTTTTTTTTGGCAGGCTTTAAAATGTATTTAAAAAATCACTGAACACGAAACAGTCCAGCATGACCGCGGCGTTAGAGCAGGGAAAACACCGACACAGAGCAGAGCACCGCTGGTACCGTTACAGGTTCATTCAAGGAATAACTACACAAAGTTCCTCACGCCAGGCTGACAGAGTCGAATTCCGCGGCATGAGTTAACTGTTACAGTTGTTCCTTGGTCAGCCAGAACAACACTTGATCCTTGGTATAGTGTCTCTTTGTGGCTTGGCGTCATCTCTCTGTATCTCTTGCAGGACTAACTGCCACTCAAACCAAAGGCAGGTGCTGCTCGATGCTCCTGTGCAGCTGTCTCAGATCTCTGCGGAATCTGGTAAGCTCATTATCTATTCATCCATTTTACCAGGTTTTTGTACATTTCCAGTGAGTACAACAGGGTATTGTGGCCACACATACTGTACTGAAAACTGAAGACAGTCAGCAAAACTTAACTTCAGTGCTTACATTGTTTGCTTGGTCATTCTCTGTCAGATCATTTTGGCTCAGTCATATCTCTTGTAGTTCTTGGAGCTGCTCCAGAATTCTCGTTTAGTAACGTTTTGTACCAGTGCTGATGCCTAAAATTTGATTTTGTGAGGGTCACATTGTGAACTTTGAAATGTGCTATTAAATCTCAGACAGGATGAAACAGATCTGCTCAGTGCAACTGTAGGTTAGTCTGCTTCAGAGTAGGGTTTATCCTGTCTTGAATCATCCATGCTAAGAACAGGTTTGTAGAGCTCCTATTGAAGTGTGTAAAGGGGAATTCCACCAGTTTTTTTTTCAAATATTATGCATAATTCAATCTTTGGGATGTAAATAGTCATTCAGAGTAGTTTAATGTGAAATGGGTCATTGTAGAGAAACTTTCCCAGCTTGCATTTGTTTAGAATGGCGGTGATAAGAATCAGGAGTTGTGATGTCCGCATTGCAAATACGCCATTTTATATCTAAAACTACGCTTGTCTTCTGGGTTTTTTATGTTCTTTAATAAAGTACTTTGTTCTTGGATACTATTTGTCCCTGTAGTGCCCTGCATGGACCTCTCTGCCATGAATGGATTTTGAAAAAGCATGTTTTAGGACAAAACCTTATCTCAAAACTGTAATAAAACAGTGAGTGTGTTTACATGCACTTAATCCGATAACTGCAGAGAATCAAATTTTGTCAGTAATCTCATCAACACGTTTATATGCATTTGAGTAATCAGATAATGTGAAAACTCTAGGTCTACATGAGTCAGACAGTAATTGGATTTCTGCTTTGCAGCCGGCCAGTAAACTCACAGAAGACGACGTGGCGTAAAACTCAAACTTCAAGCTGTGGCTTTAAAAAAAAATAAAGAAGTAAACATTGTGTCGCTTTACTTGAAAATATGATCATACATCTAGAAGATAAAGAATATTTAAATCCTTCATTTCATCAAGCATGTATTCGGTTTCAGCATTGCCCCAAAAGTGTTTTGCTGCCGTGTTGCGGCAATGCTGCTTGGTTGTTTCCGGTACTGCTGTCTGTTTTCGTACATGCGCAGACTGAGAGAAACAAAAGAAATCAGAGTAAGAGTTCACATGCACTGAGAAATCTGATTACTAAGCTAAAATCCAGCTCTCTTTATCGGATTTCTTAATCGGATTTCTAGACCGATCCAAGAAATTGCAGTGTGCTGTTTACATGACCATTTGAGTAATCAGATAACTGCAGAAATCAGATTATTGAGTCCATGTAAACTCACTCGATGTTTCAGGCATCAGTCTGAGAGCAGAGGGTTATTTTTAGCCCTCATGGATTCACACACCATTAAAAATCAACTACTAGAACAAGGCTTTTGGAGGATTGAATATAAAGCAGTTTTGCTCAGCGTACAAAAATGAAAGATTACCTGTGCTGCTTACAAAGTTAAAACAAAATGCTCAACTCTATCTTTCTCATCTGCTCTGTGTTTTATAAGGATCAGCTGCAAACGAAGTGCAGGGCATTTGGATGGTGAAGAGAACCCAGAGTACGGTAAGATAAACTTTGTCTACTTCTGTTATTTGGAAAAACATCTCTTAATTTCTGTCTGCCCTAACCTAAAGGTTTAGATTGGTTTAGTATGCACAATTAAATCATTTCCTTTCTCTGAAATACCTGATTGAACACAAGAGCTTTATTAGATTAACTGCAGGGAGGAGAGCGTTACATTATGAAGTGTACCGTCCTCTGGGACAAGGTTGTCAAGCTAACATATGGGTTAAAATTAGGGTGCTAACAAAGCCGCTTCTTATATCCAAACACTTGGCTCATTAACCAGTGAATTCTGCTTCATAATGTGGCCTCCTGGATTGAAAAGATGCTTTTTGGTGCTCATCTTGCTGTGGTTTCCTCCCACTGAAAAAAACATGAGCTCAGACTGTGGATGCCAAGAAGCTGGAGAAGGCGGAGGCCAAACTGAGGGCAAAGCATGAGCGGAGAAATGAAAAAGACTCTCAGAAACCCTCAAACCCACTGTAAGTGCCACACTTTTGTTATTGTACACTGTAGATGAGATTTTAGTAAGTTGAATTGATATCAATGTACTGAAGTGTTTGTTGAAGGAATGTAAATCACACAATGCTTCTCTTTTGTTGTGATTCTTTAGGCAACAGTGCAACCTCAGATTTCACAGTAGCATTAGATTAGTTTGGAAGGATTAAGAGTTATTCTAAAAATGAACTGAACACATAAATGACTGGAGGGACTATTTACACATTAATGTGTAAATAGAGAATATAGAGAATAACACAGTGCACAACGCTTTTATTGTATTTGTTATATGTTTAAAAATATCCTGAGGAGTTTTTTGGGCATACTTTGATTATCCTAACCGATTATGGGATGCTTGATGATTTTGGAATCATACTGGCATTTAACGGATGTTTAGATTCAACCAATATTTTAAATTTAATATTGGATGTTTTTGTTGTACTTCAGAAGAACTGAGCGTTTAGGCGACACTGAGCTAATATGGTAAATATTTTAATTTTCTTTAGTGATACACGATGATCTCAGAATCTTATCAGCATTGAGAGGTATTTGCTCAAAAATAAAATGTCTGCATTGGAGAGATGTTTAGATTTGACAGATATTTGAAAAACGATATTTGATGATGTGTTTATTATCATTCGGAAGAGCAGAATGTTTAGGTGACGCCTGAGTACTGTTCTAAAATGTGAGTTTAGTTAAATGAACCGCATTTGTAGCCCTACAGAAACACGTTACGTTTCTCTGTAAAGCAGAGGTAAGGTAAAAATAGATTTAGTCTTATTTAAAAAAAATAGGAAAAAAAATCTATAAATATTTATGGATTGGCATCGGCTACATCAACGTTGACCCACAGTTGTGTTGTTGTGTAATTTTCCTGCATTTGTAATTCAGCAATACCGCTTTTCTGTATTTATAATGCAGGTCGATTTAGTCCAAGCTTCTACCTTTTATAAATATGTGTTGGCATGCATTTTAAATGCTCTATAAATTTACATCAAGGGTCTTGGAGGAGGCTTCTGCCAGCCAGGCTAGCAGTAAGAAAGAGAGCCGTGTGGACATGTCTGGGAAGAATCGCAGTTACGACATCCGCATAGAAAACTTCGATGTGTCTTTTGGAGAGAGGTGAGTCTAATTTCTGTATTTGTTGGATACTTTATACATGCTGACCATATGACAATCTTTGCTGTTGTTTCGGTAGATACATATACACTACCAGTGCTACTAACACAAGTATAAAATGATGCCTGTGCATTAATTTATGTCTAAAACAAATGTAAGTGAATAATTTTATGCACATAGTTTTTAGTTTTCTTTTGGAGCCACAATCATTTCATCATTCTTATTACAATGTTTCTCGTTAAACGCAAATTAGTGGAATGTCTGCTTTTAATGTATTTCAGCCAGTCAATTGTGTTGTGACAAGTGGGGTCAAAATGTTATCATTATTATTATTATTATATTATTATTATTGTAAGATATGGACAAAATGAAACCTTCTGTATAGATAGGTGTGTCCAAACCTTTGCCTGGTAATATATAAATGTGATAATTACTTATTTATATATATTTAAATATATGCAAGGTATTTATTTGTTTTTAGTGGCCTTTTTTGGGTTTGACATGGCTTTTCTTTTTGCCTATTAATACTTATGAATGTTGCAATATTTTGTGTTTGTTTGTTTTGTTATTATTATTGTTGTTGTTGTTGTTGTTGTTGTTATTAATTCTGATGTGTTTGTGTCCTGTATGCTGACCCACTCGCTGCATGTACTGAGAGTTGTTCTCTGCTGCAGGTCTCTGCTGCAGGGAGCTGAGCTGTGTTTAGCGAGTGGACGCAGGTACGGTCTGGTTGGCAGGAATGGCCTGGGGAAGACCACGCTGCTGAAGATGCTGGCCAGCCGCAGCCTGCGCGTGCCTGCGCACATCTCCATACTGCACGTAGAGCAGGAGGTGGCAGGAGACGACACTCCAGCACTCCAGAGCGTCCTGGAGAGCGACACGGTTAGAGAGGAGCTGCTTGCAGAGGAGCGCAAGCTCAACGCCCACATCTCCAACGGAACGTGAGTTTATAACCCTGACTTATGACAGAGCGTACTGTTTTCAAGAAGAGAGCACCATTGACCCTTTAAATGTTAGGATTGTAGCAAAGTAGATGATGCCAAATTAAAAACAGTCACATGGGTTTTTTCTTTTAATTGCATATAATTGTATGGTGTAATACATGCAGTCGTTTTGACAGATTGAGAGCACCACAGGGGGCGTTGTTGTGCCTAATAATGGTGTCATGTCCAGATTGTGTGGTTTTCTGCCAAATTGAGCTGCTTTTGGTTTGATTTTGTGGGTAAAACTGTGTTTTGGTGGGTAGGCAGAAATTTTTGATGATTATTTTCATGAGTAAAAAAAAATATATATATATATATAATATATATATAATTCCTAAATTGCACTGCTTAGTCATGCAGATTTGAATAGGCCAAACTTCTCTCAACACCCACACAATGATATTGACCAACATGCAGCACCTGTGAAGGCACAGTTAACTCCTAAAATTAGCACTTTCCACTGATAAACTTTGCTCGAAATGCTCTTCAGAAGCTCTCAGAACATATATTCATGTTTTCTGGCAGTGCCCTCCAGTGAAGCATCTCTGGGAAATGACAGCTTACTTGCTCGCTTCTCTTTTAGAAGTAGATCTGTTTTTATCTCCAGCTTTGTTTCTGCTCGGTGATATTTCAGTACTTAACTTGAAACCCAGTCAAAAGAAAATAGTAATGGCTTCTCTGACAGCAGTGAAGAAAGCAATTTTGAAATGTCATGCAGAACTGAACATGGACTTAAGATCTACATTTTTGCGCTCTATTTTATGGATGTCATGGTAACGGAGTGGCCGCTGACTGAATCGAGCAAAGGCTGGTACTGTGGTCGCTTGGTCTGCGGCAGTCAGAAAAGTTTGGGACAGGACCGTGTTCAGTTGAATCAGTTTTAATTAATTGTGAGTCCTTGCCTGTGTCTGTTTGTTTCTTGGATTGTCTATTTTTGTACTGAAAATGTTTAATGAAAATATGTTAGAAATAAAAATAGCCATTGTAGTGACTCTAGACGTGGGCAGTGAGGCAAAAATTTCACATCAAGGTACTTGACGTTTTTTACGCTACTCAGTATTTATCACTGTGTTTAGTTTTACTGAGGTTTGATAAGGAGGAACAGGAAACTAAAAACCTAGTAGTGGGAGGGGGAGGTTTTTTGCCCGCTTGCTGGTTCATGGTGACGTAATCCAAATTAGAACAAGTAGTTTTAGAGCCGCCTTACATTTTGATGGAAGGTAACAGAAAAAAAAAACAAGAATTGTGTCTTTTAAAAGAATTGTGCTTAATATGACCAGGAAGGTGAACTAACAGTAAAGTAAGATCAGTTTTGATTTCAGGTTGACTATTAAACAATTGAACACATTAAATAATTTATAGTTTGTGTCTTCCTTTACATACTAGTCCAGAGATTTATTGAATGTAGAAATAATCACAGTTGCAGCTCTCTTAGCAGACAGTTTCTCTTGCTCTCTAACTCTGTCAGGTTTTCTGATAATATTTTGTCTGATGTAATCTTTCTCCCTTCAGGGCAGACGGGTCTGAAAGCGTGCGTCTGTCAGAAATCTATGCTAGACTGGAAGAAATTGAAGCAGACAAGGCACCAGCCAGGTAAAGCAGATTTGGTTGTACTATTGAGTTCACAGCTCAGTTTACTTATCATCCATCTCTGTGTACCTTTTTAATTGATTTATCCATTAAACGACTGTAATGTTCAGTCATTTGGCAGAAGAGATAATCTGTAACAGTCTGTATCCGGATATGGTGCTCAAATATGTGTTTTAATTTGTGGCACTTATGAATCTTTCTGTCTTTCTTTGCCTCCTCAGAGCTTCAATTATCCTTGCAGGTTTAGGTTTTTCACCCAAGATGCAACAGCAACCAACCAAGTGAGGGAAAAAATTGTAATGCATGTACATGTTTATAAATTAATTTTCTATTTGTTTGCTGACTTATTGCTCTGTTTTATAAATGTAAGGTTTTAGTGATTTTCTGTGGAGCTGTTATTGGTTCAGTGTTTTAAATGACAGCACAATCAACTAACCTGATAGTTTTACCGGTCTTAAGTTCAGTATATTTATTTTCTTGACCTTTGTTCCTCCACAGAGAGTTTTCTGGTGGCTGGAGAATGAGATTAGCATTAGCACGAGCTCTCTTTGCCAAGTGAGTACATTTTTACTTCTTTTCAATTATTGCTTTGTCTTTATTTTTCTTTGCAGTGCTTTTTACAAAAGAAATCCTGCATTAGAGCGTTTTGTATTTATGTTAGAACTTGTTGGATGTGAAGGGCCAAAATCACGGAAAACTAAGCTGCCCTCACTTTTTTGAAGTAAGAGTTCGCTGCGTTACATAAACACTGTTTTAGTTTCAGTGTTCCGTTCAGTCTCTGGTCCATATTGTCTGTATTTGTTAACGAAGCTATAAAACAACACGAAAGTTATAAAGACTGCTTTTTGATTGAGGCTCACTACAGAGCAGCCAATCAGAACAGAGATTATTTACATAAATCATTCTCAACAGCATAGTAATAAAAACAGCTTGTTTAAGTCTAAGGCATAAAAAGAGGTGGGAGAATGGTCATAAATAAAAACTGTTTTTGGTGCATAAAACCACACAAATGTCTTAAATGTCTTGAGTTATTGGGAAAAAATAAAACACAAGAAAAATGTGTGATTTGGGGCTTTTTAATACAAAGTTGTTCCTTTTAACACAAAGTTAATATTATTGTTTATTTATTTATTTATTTATTTATTTGTATGTCACTAAGCTGTTATAGTACCATCATGTTCTATTGCTGAATTTAATGATAGTATTGTACAGACTGAGTCCCGTAATGTGTTTTTGTCTTCTGTTCGTAGCACAAGTAGAACACAAACTGACCAACTGAGACAGTTTAGAGTAAACTCTTCTCATAAAGGCTCTTGGCTAGTATTAAGATCATTTCTGTGACCAAACTCAGTTTTGTTTCTGGTATTGCATTACAGGCCTGACCTTTTGTTACTCGATGGTGAGTAAATACTCATTTCTGTGGATGTGAATGTTTTTGTTACTGAGGTGATCCTTTAACAGCGCTGACAGCACTGTTTGGTCTACTTTTCAGAGCCCACGAACATGTTGGATGTCCGAGCCATTCTGTGGTTGGAGAATTATTTACAAGTATGTCTCTGCTAACCAAGATTGGTGATTTTAGTAATTCTCTGGGTCTAGTTCAGCTGCTCATTTAACCCCATAATAATCATTAGCCTATTTAGTGGTGAAGGGCAGTTAATACCCGTTCTTTTGTGTAAAATAGCCGCTTGGCACAAAGCGGTCTGCATTCTTACTGACTATGTTCCTACTCAGCCAGTCAGTGCACTGTGAGCACATTGTGCACTGTTTGTACAACGTCTGTGACAACAGTAACAGCTGTGTGCTTGGTTACAGGGGAATTCCACCAATTTAGTTAAAATTTCTTCATAATTCACTCGAGATGTAAGCAAGATCATTCAGAGTGGATTGATGCGAGGAGCATTGCATAAAGAACTTACTGACTCAGATTTATTTACTTACTGACTGTTTTATGTTGTATATAATGTTTTATGCTAAAGCTTTATTTCAAACTATCATAAAACAGGCATCTGGCAACAAATAGCTTTCTGGGAACTTGTAGAGGTATAAAAACTCTTCGGAAATTTGGTTCCTATAACTGCCACTGCAAACAATTATGAGTCTAGTTTCTCTAGAATTGAGCATTTCATGCCAAACCACTGAATGACTTAAACATCATATATATTTCATTGTGCTGAAATGTTGAAATATTGGTGGAATTCCCCTTTAAGTGCTACTCAGATAGTGCCAGGTTAAGTCATAAACTACTCTGACTGGCATTGTGTGCCATTCGTTAAAGTAGCCAGGCTGTATTTGCTGTTAGTTTTATTTCTGTGCCTTACCTGGTGAGTGTTTGTGTGTTTATACTTATTAACTCAGACATGGCAGTCAACCATCCTTGTGGTGTCTCACGACCGGAACTTCCTGAACGCTATTGCAACCGACATCATCCATCTGCACTCGCAGCGTCTAGACAGTTACCGTGGTGATTATGAGAACTTTATCAAAACAAAAGAGGATAGACTGAAGAACCAGCAAAGGGAGTACGAGGCTCAGTTACAGTACAGAGAACATATACAGGTATAAGCGCCTACACATGCACAGGTAACATAGATTTACATGTACACACAAGTAAAATCAGAGGAATGCATTAAAGGGCCCAAATCATGAAAAAACACATTTTCTCACATTTTTGCATTGAGAGTTTGCTGAAGCATGTAAACAGTGTTAAAGTTTGAAAGGGTACTGTTCCCTCTCCAGTCCGTACAGTGCATGTATGGGGTCTAAGCTAACAGATTGATTTGAATCGTGTATGTGATGTCACAAAAACCAGCACATTTGCAGTCTGCTCGTTCAGCGTACAGCAGTTTAGCCCCACCAAATCACATTGTAAGAAGTGGTTTTCTCCCAGGCTGCTTTTTGAATAAGACAAATTACAAGACAGCCAATCATAATGGAGGTAATTTACATATATCAGTCTTAAAGGCACAGTAAGAAAAATAGACTGCCTGTATATAAGAGAGAAGAGAGGTTGAAAATAGTCATGTAAAATTTTTTTGTACCCGACGTTTTTGGTACATAGAAATAGACAAATGTCGTAAGTCGTGGGTAGTTGTGGGCTGGAGGTCAAGGAACCAGCCTTGTGACCGGGAGGTTGAGCAAGGCACGTAACCTCCAACTGCTCCCCAGGCACCATGAATAGGGCTGCCCACCACTCCGGGCAAGTGTGCTCACTGCCCCTGGTGTGTGTGCTTTTACTAGTGGGCATGTGGGTGTTTCACTGCATGGATAGGTTAAAATGCGGAGGTGAAATTTCCCCGTTGTGGGACTAAAAAGGGCAGCTTAACTAAGATGACTTCAGAGGCAAAAATACATACATGTAGAATGGAAATATCTATTATATGGATAAATATAGAATAGGGGCCCTTTAATTAGCTTTGTGAGTGAACATGCCAGGTGGCAGTTTAAAGCATACCAGTCAATGCCATGGTTTTGTAGAAATCACAGGCTAATTGTTTGTGTTTGTTTGAACAGGTGTTCATCGACAGGTTCAGGTACAACGCCAACAGAGCTGCACAGGTGCAGAGCAAACTAAAGCTTTTGGAGAAGCTGTAAGTCAGTATCTATCTACATGTGTTTCAGTACTGTTCAGCACCATGTTCTTATGGGGTTTATCTTGTATGTTGCAGCCCTGAACTTAAGCCTATAGAAAAGGAATCTGAAGTAGTTTTACGGTGAGTTTGTATCGTCCATTTATGAGCTTTTTTTTCTACTCCGTCAACCAGAAAACACTGATCATTATCTTGGTTTGTTTGACAGTTTTCCAGATAACTTTGAGAAGCTGTCCCCTCCCATCCTGCAGCTAGATGAAGTTGAGTTCTCCTACAGCCCTGAACAGCGTCTGTTCACAGGCCTCTGCGTTTCTGCTGACCTGGACTCTCGAATCTGCATTGTAAGTGGTCACACTGAGACTTTAACTTGAAGAAAATGCTGTTTCCACAACGATTGATTAATGAGTAACTTCAATGATGCTTAAGTTTAGCCAAATAGAGTTTATGTAAATGTTCCACAAATTACAACACTTTTTTTGTGTGTTATGACTTCTATGATTTTATTTCTTTTCTCTTTTATTTCTTTTATTTATAGTTTTTAATGGTTCTTACTATATTTCTTCTTGTTATATCCTTGCAGGTAGGTGAAAATGGGACTGGTAAGTCCACATTACTGAAGCTGCTGATGGGTGAGCTCACACCCCTAAGTGGAACCAGACACGCCCACAGGTGAGGATTTACCCACAGTGCTGATTCTGATGTTTAAGAATCTGTGAGAATAAGAAAGAAGGTGGAAAGACCACACACTGTTTTACATGCTCCTCGTTTTTTTTGTTTGATTAAATAAATATTTAAACATTTTCAATTTTGGGAGCACTGAACCGAATATTGGGCTTGTAACTTTTCCTATCAAGCGTTTTTATGCCCAGCCCCTGTATATGAATTAAGCAGAGTGTGAGCATTGTGCTGTTTAATAGGTAGTTGGACAAAGTAAAATACCATGCTAACTAAAAAAAGCCATTTTACCTCATTTATAATTTAGATTTTGGGTCAGCCATGCATATTTGAGCAAAGCCTCTAAAAGTTTGATCTCTCCTTCTGTAGCAGTGAACCGCAGCATTTTTTTTTTCTTTGTTTTTAAGTTAAAAGCAGACAGTAACATTTGTTCTGAACTTTGCTCTTTTTCCAACAGAAACCTGAAGATTGGCTATTTTAGCCAGCACCATGTAGATCAGCTGGACCTCAACGTCTGTTCAGTGGAGCTTCTTCTCAGCAAGTTCCCTGGTACAGTATGACCATAAAAATGCTTTCATTCTGTAGCTCTCAAATCATAGCAGGAGAACATCCAGGTAGTGCCAAGATGCTCTGGCGTTGTGGCTACTCACTTTTTTTTTTTTTTAAGCTGTTGATTTTGTTGTTATAAACTATTTTTTTTAACTCCTCCTTGTGTCTGCTAACTCTCATGTGGCATTCAGGTCGGACAGAGGAAGAATACAGGCGTCAGCTTGGTAGATATGGTATTAGTGGAGAGTTGGCAACCCGACCGGTGGCCAGCCTTTCGGGAGGACAGAAGAGCCGTGTGGCTTTTGCCCAGATGACCATGCCTTGGTAATTTGACCCTGCCTTTCAGATGTGACGATTCAAGGACTCATATATGATTTATAGAATAGTATGGTTAAGTTTTAAATGAACCCTTTCAGCACTGGCTTTTCTAGATCTCAGTATGGTTCTAGAATAGAATTGTTAATGAGAATAATTAGGCACTTCATGAGTCGCTAAATTTAAATTCTAAGTGCCAAGATGAGATTATAAAATGCCTCTTGATGCATCTCAGATTTTGATTTTTGATGCCTACATTAAGATTTTTTTCTTGTAGGTCATTAACAAATATTAATAGCTTGGTTTAATTTGAACATAGCCTAAACTCTGCCTACATAATCTATATAAGTCTAAGTGTTTATCGGAAATGTTGGGTGCTAATAAAATATTAAAGTAAAAGTTGAGAATTCCTGCCATAGAGCACTGCGTGGAAACACACCGAAGCTGACGTTCAAGCACATAGTGAAGCATCGGATATACCAGTCATCTCATAAGCTTTCAGAAATGTTTTGGTCATATGATTGTACACACATGAATATTCATCAGGGTTTAATGTAGAAATTTTACCTTAACTTTATAAGAAGCTTTTTTGATCTAAATAACACCACTACACTATTACTAATGATGTTTTTTTTAATATTATGTTAGTACCAAGCTGGACCTTGACTGTTTTTATCACTAGTCATAGCAGTTCTAGCCTAGATGTGGACATATGGAGTTTGTAACAGACATTCCGGTAACATAACTTTTCTTAGTGTGTTGCAGTTTTACAGTTAATCCTTCTTAAAGTCCAACTCTGAATATTACTAGACTAGCCTGTCAGCAGGTTGCAAAGGTCTTTGTTAAACTAAGTTGCATTTGTAGGATCATGTTTACCAAACATGCTTGCATTAGTGAGACACTGCTTTTTGTTTTTTTTTAATTACACATTTTCCCCCTTCTCCAAGTCACACTGTGCAGTATCTCTGGATGCACATGAGTTTATTTTACCGTAGAGGAAACACAGAGCCTGTATAAAAATTGATTGATGTTTTGTGAATCAATTCAGAATCTTTCAGGAGAGATTTGCAATGCATCCAAGAATTGATTATTTTTCCCCACTCCTGATTTGTTAACTATTGTTGGGTATTACTTTATGCCATTGTTGCACCATAAGCAGAGCTATAAAGTGGCCTTGGTACCATATTATTATGCCATAAGTGATACTCCTCAAAGCTATGAGTGTGTTTATATCCTGACCCATTGTAAACCCTCACATGTTGTCCTTCATTTTCAGTCCTAACTTCTACATTCTTGACGAGCCGACCAATCACCTGGACATGGAAACAATTGAAGCTCTTGCAAAGTCCTTGAATAATTTCAAAGTAAGTCCACTTTTGTATTAACCTTCCTTTACTGAAATCACTTTGATTCTCCCATTGCCAAGTCTGTCCATTGCACCACCTTCACAGGTAGTGTAACTCTAAAGGCGCAGAAACAGAACAGAATAGAAAACAGGCTAAAGAAAAGTCTGCACTGGAACAAGGCTTTTGTGCTTGTTCTTTCATATTCTTATGGGCCAGTGAACATTTTGATAGTCATTCAGTCGTGGCCTTTCAAGGGTCAAAACTTTTTTCTTTTTCTTTTTTTTTTTTGCTGACACTGTAAAGTAAAACTGAGAAATAATTATTTATGTGATTTTAATTTTATAACTAAAGAAAAATACTTTTGACCATGCTTTAGAGAATATAATGCAATAGTTATTTATGATGGTCTGTTGTTCTCTTGAGGGCGGTGTTGTGCTGGTCTCCCACGACGAGAGACTAATCCGACTCGTGTGTAAGGAGCTTTGGGTGTGCGAGGCCGGCCGAGTGCATCGCATCGACGGCGGCTTTGACGAGTACAAGGACATCCTGCAGGAGCAGTTCCGGAGGGAAGGCTACCTGTGAACATTCAGACCGACAAAGCACCTTATGTCATCTGCGCACCATTTAAACTGACTCTGCATCGCCACCACCCCAACCTGCTAACTGACTCCATGCATACAATCTGAACTCCAGTGACCAGCAACTTGGCTGGCTCCACTGAAGGAAGCCGAATTGGTGCCATCTCTGCTGTCCTTTCTCCCACCTATGCCGCTGTTTGCTGTCCTCTTCTTTTACCAGCTCAGTCCACCTGCCTCTGCTGCTGCACCAAAATCATGTTGTCGTCGCCCAGTGCAGTTCGTGCCACATCCGTAATGGGTTTTGTGACATGGGGGCAGGCTGGGCGGCATGCACTGGACTTTTCTGCACAGGTTCTTTTGTTTAATTCTGCGCACAAACAGGAACGGAGCCTGGTGTAGTTAATGCAAAGCGAAGAGGACATAAACATTAACATTGTGTTTCAATGCAAATGATGTACTTATCAGCGGCAGTTTTAGAACATGCTAATAAAAACATAGCAGTCAGTCAATCAGTTTTAACCTGCTTTCTGTCTTTTGTAATTATTTCTTTGGGTATATCGACTAATAAAATGCTCTGTTCGTAGGGCTTTCAGGTATAGCCCATTGTCAGTAACACTAGAGCCCAGTAATACTGCTCAAATACAACTTGAAATGTTTAATAAAAACACGGTATCACCAGAAAAGGAAAAGCAAGGGCATCCAACAGGTTTTATACTACGTGATACGGAGGGGAAACATCTAAATTTAAAGCAGGTAAATTGATCCCCTCTAGCAACTACCTGATACCTGATAGGCCTTTTCCTCCTAAAATCATTAAATCCCTGTTTCGTTTCATTAGATGGCACATTGAGTCGAGGTAGTCCACTCGTACTCTGACAAACCCTGCCTCCTGTGCTTGAATTGGCTAATAGTTAATCTTAGCAAAGGACAGAGGACACTGTTAGTCAATCAGTACAGTGAAATAAATGGAGAACTGCGACAACTAGAGCTAGGCCTTCAAAAGACTACATGGTTTCCTTCATTTTGAGTCCTAACTTCTACATTCTTGAGCCGACCAGTCACCTGGACATGGAAACAGTTGAAGCTTCAAAAGACTAAATCACCTCTACGGTAATGCTCATTTCTGTTATCACCATTATGGGACTTAATTAGTGCGTTAGCACTAAGCTAATGGTATCTGGCCATTCTAGATTAAATACTGGCATTAGAAGTATGTAAACTCAGTGTTATTTGAAGCTTGTAACAGACATTAATGTACATTTTACCTCATAGCAGTTCTACAGTGATTCAGAGCCCAGGCACAGGACAGCCGCTGTTTCCCATGTAACCGAAAGGCATCCGTAAGGCTACCACTCATATTCACAGTCGGTGAAGCATCCAGGACATCCAGAAGGCCTAAAGTGATGTTTTCTGCTCACAAATTTAGTCCCAACCATTCTAAATCAAAAACCCGGTTGATTTCACTGTCGGTTCCTCACCATGTTAGTGGTTAGTTAGAACTTCAGTTAGGCTCCTGAAGTCCTAACCAGTGGGAGAGCTTGCTTGGCTGTGTCTACCAAGATAATAAAGAGGGAAAAAATCCTAACTGATAGTTTTCTGTTGGCTGTTTAATCCTGTCGTTTCTATCCAAAACTTAACAATGAAATGAGATTCGCGGCAATACCTGCAGTGCATACGACACTAAATGGATTATATTCAACAATCAACTAAAATGATATTAATATATTAAACAAATTAACTAAATAATTATAGTTTAGAATTAAACTTTTAATTTAATATGTAATAATACATGATTGAAGGGTTTGTTGTAAAACCTGTGGTGACTGACAAGACCCCATGCACAGTACAATTAAAAAAAAAGGGGTTGCAAATAGAGAAACGCTGCAAAGCCAGTCACAACATAACAGAAATGTTTCAAACAAAAGTTGACTTAAAACAGATTTTGTACCACTTTGAATTAAAATCTTGTAATTTTTTCATTATATACATTGTTGGGAGCGATTGAAAAAATGTTACAGAAAACATTGATGCTATAATGTGATGAATATCACCTTTATTAGAGAAATAAAAGTCTTTTTCTTTATCAGACAGATTTTTTTTTGCTCTTCAAAAACTCATTATACCCAAAATTGTTATGAATTGTTTTATTGAATAATTTAATTTTATAAAAAAATAACTAAACACAGACACATATAAAATTAGTCCCAACCATTCTAAATCAAAAACATGATTGGTTGATTTCACTGTCAGTTCCTCACCATGTTAGTGGCTAGTTAGGACTTCAGTTCAGCTCCTGAAGTCCTAACCAATGGGAGAGCTTGCTTGGCCATGTCTACCAAGATAAAACAGTTTAGGAAAAAAAACACTTTTTCAGCAATAAACACATTCAGTTTCATAACAAGATAAACATTTCGATTCTTTCTTAAACGTTTAGCGTCGATACTTCTTCAAAAAGTAGCTCAGCAGTATCGATTAGCCAGTGCGGATCCGCCCACCTCTACAGGCGGCACTGGTCGGAATACGGATGGGTTTAGAACCAGCGCGCTCTCTGTGTCTCCACCGCAGACGGGGTTTTCTGACCACGTGACTCGCCCGTGCCGCTCAAGGAGAGCTGAATGGATTTTTCAAGGAGAGCTCGGAGCGGCCCTGAGCGGAGCAGCAGCACGGACACAGCCCACCTCCGTCATCCGCGCGCACAGAGACGCCCCTAGCATGATCGGTCAGACTGAATAAGGCCGCGAAGATGATGCGCTTCATCCTGGACTGTCTGAGGGCGGGACGGCGGAGAGCAGCCTGCGCCAGGTGCCCTCACATTTATTCACTTTTACCTTCGGACTGCATGTGTGGCTCTGCAGATCTAACACGCTAATGGGCTTACTGACCAGTGCAACACCCCCCTCCTGCGCTCCATCTTCTCTCAGTGCAATGCAGAGAGAGGGAGAGAGAGAGGGAGATGTCGTGACTGAGATCTGATCATGTTTATTTTGTTCATAATTGTGATTTGTGACAAACTGTAGCAGCACAGCCATAGATTTACTGCCTTAAAGGGCGAGCAGGCTCTGCACCAGGTTTAAGGGGGAAATGCTTTAGACTGAAAAAGATACTTCATGTTCGTTTGACATTCTGAGGCATTAATTACTCAACATGAATATGCATGGATGCATAGATAATGTCCACAGGCTACAGATGTGCTTCTGTGAATTCATAAGTGGCCTATTATCATTATCATTATTTGTCTTTGAGGTTCTTTTGAAAAGGCAATTTAGAACCTGGAGTTCTGTACAGAACCATTTCATGCTTAATTGGTTGTTTGCATGGTGAAACGGTTCTTCAGATTGATGGAGAATGTGTTGTATGTGCTGAAATTGGTTCTATAGCACCATAAATGGTTCTCCTACTGCATACAGGCTTGACATCGTAACAAACGCAGACCTGTTTGGTGCTATATAGAACCATATACAACACATCGAGAGCAACGGCACCATGCAAACAACCTATTAGGCATGAACTGGTTCTGTATAGAACTCTAAGAACTCCTGAGCAGCTGCAGTTCCTCCTATCGCATGTATGCCCTGTCTGCATGATGGATGGTGTGGTGTACTGAGTGTACTGAAGGCTCTGGGTATTTTCTGAATGGATGCTACACATCGTCTGAGCTCAGCAGTAAAGCTGGAGTCACTCACGGCTCTCGCACAGCAGGCAGGAGGCGGATTTACACGCATCCTTTAGAAAAGGGCTGCTCTGAGCTACATCTCTGTAACAGGGGAAATGGCCAGTGGAGGAAATTCAGTTATGCAGTGGAATCAGCGTGGGTGCAATGATACACGGTTTTTGGGGGGGGTTCATATGATTTTACATCCTGAGATCAAGATTTGATTCCGTTTTTGTGGTTTTTATGTGATTTGTCAATGTCTTCATCCTACAGAGATTATTATTATTAATTTTCATTATATACCTCACAGTATGGATAGCCTGCATTATTTATCAGGTGGTGTAATGCAGAAGGCACACTGCGCTGTGCATAAGCACTTTATATAACACTCCATAATCCTTCAGACTTGTAAACCTAGAAAATGGTAACTTTACAGGAGAAGGAAAAAACCTACTTTACTTTTAATGTAAGTCAGTGGAACCAGAATTTTTTTCCAAGTCATTTTGGGTCATTTCTTTTGGTCCAATTATCATGAGATTTACATACAATGTAAAGGGCAACAGACTTTTTCAAACTATGTCAAAAACTGAAAAATAAGTATAATATATATATATATATATATATATATTAATATGGATGTCCATCATACTGTTATTTATTTATATATATATATATATATATATATATATATATATATATATATATATAATGTGTGTGTGTATTTGATTATTTATACATATTACATATTATAATTTGCTTTTTTCATTTATGTTGATGTGCACCAAGACAAATTACTTGTTTATCAGGTATTTGGCAAATAATGATTCTGATTTAAAAAAAAAACCCATAAGTTCAAACCAAATGCCCAGGTCTGATCACTGTCAGTGATTTTCACAAAAGACAGAAAATTAAGGCCCTCAGAAAAGACTAAGGAGAATATTGGCGACTGTAAATCACGATCTCTCTCTCTCTCTCTCCTTCATTTAATACTGCCATAAATAACAATCATACCTAAACTGTTTCACTAAGACACACTGGAAAACGGGATCATTGTTGCACATAAATGCTTTTCACATGCAGCTCTTAATATCTAATCAAAAAAGATGTCATGTAGTATTGTGGAGCTTCAGAGCCATAGACTTTGCATTGCTCCAGCTTTTGATTAATATATCGCTCTGTTCCGTTTGTGTTCCAGAGAAAACTCAGTGGAACTACAAGGAAAGGAAAAAGAGGCTGCCAACGATAATGAAATCAAGGTATGCTTTGTACGCAGGCACTGCAAGTGCCTCATGGGGAAAATGGTTCACTGTGATGAATCTTTCATCTTGGCTTTGGATGCACAGTTATTTGATCATTCCTTGCTAGAAGACTATGTAATAGACATAAAGGGAAAAACGACGGTCATATGACTGATGGGCTGACTGGGTTTAATCAGTTACGTACAGGCGCATGTGAGGAATGAACCTTGTCATCCACTGACAGCGCAGGAGCTGGTCCATTGCTGCGCTTGCCGGGTTTTATGTACATTACAGAGCAAAGGCAGAGCACCAGTGTAGCAGCACCAATGACATCACAATGCTATTTTAGTGGCTAGTTGAATGTGATTGGTCCTCCAAAGCCGAGCCCCACCTCCTGGATTTCACAGGGCTACTCATGGCAGACAGAGTGTCAGATGATTTAGTTCAGCTCTACTGTACTGTGTGAGAGGAGCTCCATATTCTGCTGCACGCCTGTTATGGCCAGAAGGGTTTTCAAGAGACGTTGACAGAGGACTGTATGTGTGAATGTGTATGTGTGTATTTGGAGTCACGGCAGATTTTTAATAAATCTTTTAACATGCTATATTATTTCAGATCTTAAAGGGCAATTCCA